ATATATTTATTTATATATAAAATATAATATATAATTTTATATAATATATATTTAATAATATATTTAATAATATATATATATATATATATTATTATATATATATAATTATATATTATAAAAATATATATAATATAAATTATAATATATATTATATATATATATATATAAATAATATATATATATAAATATATTATATATATTATATATATAATTATTTATAATATATATATATATTTTATATATATAATATATAATATATATATATATATATAAATATATATATATATTATAATAATATAAAATTATTAATAAATTTATTAATATTAATTTTAAAATAACTATATATAAATTAATATATATAATTATAGAAATATATATTAAATAAAATAATTATAATTTTAATATAAATAGAAGTTCAGTGGCAAACATTAGGGGCACTCAGAATCAGTTATAGCCCGACAATCCCCCGTTACCGACAAATTGATGTCCTGAGCTTTTATGAGACTCTGTGCCTGTCATCGTCCCAGGAACATTCACCGGGCCGAAGCACGCTGGACTTGGCTCCAAGCCCAAGAACAAACTGACTAAACCCTACATATGATGGAAAGTTCTCTTTTAATTAATTCAGCCTCAACATAAGGCAACTTCATCAAAAGAATACGATTGTCCCCCAAAACTAGATAAGAGATCATGTCAAAGGAGCGTCCTAATCATTTATAAAACTCTCAAATCGAATCACATTATAAATTAATACACGCTCTCAAACAGATTATACCTATTCCATTCCAACACCAAAATTAAATTGCAAAAAATTATTTTATTCATATCATATATAAGGGGGCCAATGTCAGTTTTGGCGTTAGTGATTAACGTATCTGTTTCACCGACCAGGATTTTCGCGCACCTCGAACTTGTCTACTTCACGACATGAAAACTACTTACCATGCGATGAACAATTCAATTTGCTCACATAACAAAGGTATCAGAGGTAAAGCATATACGTAAAAACGATCAAACAACATCTAAAGATACTATCGTGAACAGAAACTTCCCCCTCAAAGATTACAACACCTCAAGATTCAAGTACTTAACGAAATCCTCAATCTGAAAGAAACCAACTACCAACTAGATCTGGCCAGTAGAAGAACCAGAGCAGTGATGCGCAGTACAAAGCCAGGGCCGAACATCCAGAGCGAAGACTCTGTCTCATAATATCGACTGAAGTCCTAAGTACAGATTCTTTGTATTGGGTAAGCTCCTCAACACAAAAAATCCTTAGCCTATTAACCAAGTGACTCCAGTACAGGTTCCAGTCACTAATCAGAAATAAATACCTCGATCCTGAAGGAAGGACGTCTCTCAAAAACTCAAAACTCCAGCATGAAAACAAGACCACGAGAAGCATCCGCCTAAAAACTCCTTAATCACAAAGTATTACCCAAATGGGGACTTCAGCCAGAAAGGAAATACTCCTATAAGAGACTGCATTAACTCAAAACTCCAGACTTAATTAGTTCCTTATCCAAAAAACTTCATTGAAAAATATCAAACTTAATTAAATATTCAAAAAAAATATCACTTCAAAAACACTGATTTTTACATAGAAACAAAAGAACTAATTAACCTACCATCGAACCTAGAACCAAAATCTATCCATTATGAATTTGAATTTCTGGGGAAGTCGTCAACGGATTGACGACTGATCTCAGTAGGCAGATTGTGGGGATAGTGCTCATCGAGGAAGTTCGGGAGTGAGGCCTACAGCAGCTATCCGTGAGGACGCCTCCGAGTCACCGAAGCTTCTCCTTCAGCCGTGGCCGTGAGAGAGTCATTACCGGAGAAAACCCCGTTCAACCCACCCTGACCCCTCTACCCTGCCCCTTCGTCATCCCACCTCTTGGCCTTTTCCCCACTTTTCCCTACCCCACGACAGCATCCGCGCAGGGCACGTTCTTGTTAGGGCCTGTTTATGTCCTCCATGTTGGTCTGTGTTCCCCCACATCGCCCACCGCACTTTCCCTAAATCCTGTATCCAGCGAGTGAGTACGACCGACTTGTTGGGTAGAGTCAGATACTCCCACCGCCTAACCTTTCCCACATGCCTCCTCCATCAGGAGAACCATGGCCATGTAGCTAGCAGCTGAACAACTGCAAATGAACGTACCGTCCAAGGGTAGAGGATCATTGGCCCCATGCAGCAGGAGGCACAAGCTCTCACACAGACACTCCACTAACGTCGTTGTAGCCCAACTCCCCGCTTCAAGATTCTCCACAGACGACTCAAGTTCTCAAAGTCACTTGAAAACGAGAATCTCTCAAGTCGTCGGAAAAGGAAGAATCTTCATACTATCCAAGCAAGGAATCTTTGGGCCAGTAGAGAAGATAGATTCCAACAGACTGCTAGAGTGGATGCAGCGTAAAAGCTCAGAGAGTCAAGAATCTGCCTTTCTCATAGTCGAAGGCTCTGGTCTCCAAGATTTCGAGTCTTGTAAGTCCTGGAGAACAGATTCTTGGGTAGTGTGCGGGAGTTAAGACTCCTTCGACTGTGACAAGGAAAAATTCCTTGCAGTCGCTAGTGAGTCTGATCCAGTAGGAATTCCAAAGAGAGTTCACTTAAATCAGTGGAAATGAAGGGTGTCCTCGGTTCCTGAATGGGAAAGGTCCACAAAATATATGAAAGGGAAGAGGCTGAAGATCATTGGAGAGGAGAGAGCTGGAATCACGGAAAGGAGAGAGCCTGGAAGGCCGCTGGAGAAGAGAGACTCCTTTAAATTTCAGGACAAGAGAGAGTATTATCGCTCACTGGAGAAGAGGGACTCTGGCAGGGCCTGCGAGAGGAAGAATATATACGTTTCCTAACGGGGAGGCTTTGGGAGGTTACCCTTTACGAAAAGGGAATTTCCAATCTTTAGAGGCAGGAATCTTTTCATCCCATCGAGAGAAGGGACTCGGGGAGATTAGAAAGAAGTGAGTCAGGAAGACCTTTGAGAAGAAGTGGTTCTGAGAGATATTCCGAGAAAAAAAATTTGGGACATTTCAAGAAGGGAAACGAGGGCTGAGTCCCCTTTTGGGTTTTCGAAAGAACACAAAAGAGATGGCAGGGAAAAGCCGTGATGCCCATCGAGACCATAGGAAGTAGCCAGGAAAGTGAAGGTTTTGGGAGGTCACGGATGTGAAGCGGGCCGCAAACTTTCGGGGTTTCTTAGGAGAGAAGAGTCTCAAGATCGGGTCGGGTTGGAGTGGCGGACTTTTACCAGTGGGCGCGTTGTGGGTTGTGCCAGTATGCTCCCACTTCGGAGGCACTCAAGTCTCCCTGATAGGGTCCTTCAGCACTGTCTTCCGCTAGGGAAGACTACCCGCAAGTGCCATCGCGAAGCCCTATCTCCTTTTCCTCAGCGACGCTTTGGGCCCTAGGAGAGAGCGTTTTCCCCGCAGAGGATGAGAGAGAGCCACGACGGGTTTTTGGCGGGGGGACTCATCAAGTGGGGGTCTTCCGCCACCTGCCTAGATCCCCCTTTAGCCAAACTGGCCCCTCCCGCCTCCCGGTACATGGAGGCCAGAACCACATGTTTCCTGAAAGCGCAAGTTTTTGAGGGGGCCCCAGCTCTTTGGGGAAATGACGCTTCGTACCCCAAAAGGGGTGGGGATCCACTTTTTTGGCCCCCCCCGGAACCCACAGGTTCGTGGGGAAAATTGTCGGAGCGGGGGATCTCTTCTGGGTGGCAGATTGAGGGGAGCAGATTACGTGCATGGTCCCTGACGGACCTGGGGTCTGAAACAAGTGAAAGTTCTAGACTGGTGCTTCCCCAGCATCCCAGCTCCTTCCCCGGTGACACCTCTCTCACCCGCACCAACAGTAACGTCAGCGACACCACTACACTCTCCTCCCGTGTAGGTAAGCCACGTACACTCAACACTTACCTATCACGCCCAACTTATACACCCACTCCCTTCTCTTCCCTCTCACTCACAGCTCTTTTTCATCTCCCACATTGACCTAACCTTACACAAACATGACCCTTCATGCAAATGCAAAATCAAAATGGAAATCCGGATCACAAGTGGTTAAGAAGCATACATTGTGGAGTGTATATAACATGACGTGTGTTGCATATGTCATATAATCATTGTTAGGTGAGCGGTGTATGAGAGTAACATGAGCAGTGTTTTGTGTGTATAAGAGGAAGACCCTACCTGTCCCGTCTTTCCTGCTTACTTTCAGCTAATTATTAAAAATAACAGCTCAGTATTCTATCTTTACAAATATATCCAACTTTTGTAATAACTCGTAAGTTATCTAAGTTTGTGCTTGTATTAAACCAATATTGTTGTGTGTGATGTTTTTTAAAGTGCATGTTTGGCAGTGCCGTCGACGTAAAGTGCATGTTTGGCAGTGCCGTCGACGTAAAGTGCATGTTTGGCAGTGCCGTCGATGTAAAGTGCATGTTTGGCAGTGCCGTCGACGTAAAGTGCATGTTTGGCAGTGCCGTCGACGTAAAGTGCATGTTTGGCAGTGCCGTCGACGTAAAATGGCTGAAGTTATTTTAATGGTTAATTAACCTTTCTTAGGGTGCCTTGATGCTGCTGAGGGGCTCTAGATGTACACTCACCATTGATCACTGCCACTCCCCAGGCACTCTGACCCTTATTATTCTGGCATTCCCCTCACTATAATATAAATAATAATGAAATTAATAAAGTATGACTGTTAAGGTAGGATGAGCCTTGAACTTGTGTTCCAGTAAGCTGTTTTTTGCACTTGCAGTTGGAAAGTTAATGCATAATTGAACAGCATGTACCATCAAGGCTTTTTTTACGTGCTTCTCAATTTTGGATGTACCTCTTCAGTTGTATTTACAAAAAAACTCGCTAAATAATGGAGCTTTATGGTTGCTGCGGGTAAGTGTGATGTTATTTTTTTATTAAATTGTACATGTTATGATTGTTACGGGTGAGTGTGATGTTAGGTTACTAAGGTGGTGTTGTGTTTGTGGTGACAGGCTCAACAGAGGCTGGAGGAGAGCAGTCATAAACTGGACCTCATCCGCCTGTCCCTAGAGCGACTACGGTCTGACCTGCCGCACGGCTCCCTCATGGCCGGCGAGGTAAGTAAACCATACATTTTACTTGTTTGCTTCTGGTTTTAACAGTTGGTTAGTTAACCTGAAGGAAATATTGCAGGTGTTTGTGTTATTTTAGCCTTGTATGTGTCTGACAATTTCTGATATCACTCGCGTGTCATTTAGCATATACTAGTTTGATGTAGCATGATGCTATAGGCAGTCAGCAGATGGAATGCAATTCAGCGTCATGTTAAGGTGACACCATTGTTATGATGATGTAGAAGTGTAAGTGTACTGTTGATAGTGTTAGTATGATGTAGAGGTGTAAGTGTACTGTTGATAGTGTTAGTATGATGTAGAGGTGTAAGTGTACTGTTGATAGTGTTAGTATGATGTAGAGGTGTAAGTGTACTGTTGATAGTGTTAGTATGATATAGAGGTGTAAGTGTACTGTTGATAGTGTTAGTATGATGTAGAGGTGTAAGTGTACTGTTGATAGTGTTAGTATGATGTAGAGGTGTAAGTGTACTGTTGATAGTGTTAGTATGATGTAGAGGTGTAAGTGTACTGTTGATAGTGTTAGTATGATGTAGAGGTGTAAGTGTACTGTTGATAGTGTTAGTATGATGTAGAGGTGTAAGTGTACTGTTGATAGTGTTAGTATGATGTAGAAGTGTAAGTGTACTGTTGATAGTGTTAGCATGATGTAGAAGTGTAAGTGTACTGTTGATAGTGTTAGTATGATGTAGAAGTGTAAGTGTACTGTTGATAGTGTTAGTATGATGTAGAGGTGTAAGTGTACTGTTGATAGTGTTAGTATGATGTAGAGGTGTAAGTGTACTGTTGGTCATGTCATTCATTATGTTTTAGTAGTGGTACTTGCTTCTAGTGACACTTTAACATGATACTGTCTTGCTAATGTGAAATAGTCTCTATATAGCGCTTAGTATATTTAGCTAGTTAAACTACCATTTAACATGATATACTGTCACTTAGCATTCAGTTTTAATTAACATTTAAACATTGTTGTATAATTTAAGAGTTAATTACAATTATGTTACAAGTTAAATTGGTCACTTAATATTGTAATAACTTAAGAGTGACTTAGCATGGAATTATATCACTTGTTTCTGCCACTAAGATCTATTAACTCAAACTTGTACTGGTATGAGAGTTAGAATGACATGCGATGTAGGTCTGCAAATGGATGAGAGGCATTAAACATGACACAAGAATGAAGAAAGACTGCAGTAGGCCTACTGGCTCATGCTAGGTTGCTAGCATGCATGTCTATGTGAATGCTAGCATGTCACTGCTCATGTCACCGTCCAACTTTATTTGGAGTGCTACATAAATACCGACAAGGTGAAGAATTAGACACATGTGCGACATCTGTGTATCTTTATTTGTAGACGTTTCGCCATCCAGTGAGTTGATCAGTACAATACAAGGACATAATGTGAAGAATTATATACAAAAGACGAGGTAATCAGTCCTTCAGTCTTGGAGTTAATGAAGAGCACCGTAGTCTTGAAGGAACTAAAGCACAGTCATCAAGTTTTAGCTCCATGACTTTGATAATGGTCCAGGGATGACCATTATCACTTCAAAATGGTCGTCAAAAGTAACAGTTCCAAACTGCCAGTTAGTTGCGAATTGTTGCAGCCTCAGTATTGTGACTTGCATGTTTTTGTTGGGTTGCATAGTTGCAGATCAGTGGACTAAACTGTGGAGTATTGTCACTGGAGGAACCCTTTTGAATGTTTAGAGATGACTAAATGAAATATTCTTTGTTGTAGGTATGACCTAATTCCATATTGTTACCTTAGTCACTTATCAAGGTGCTGTAATACCACTTATGTTAGAGTCACTTGCCATGATAGCATTGTATCAGAATGATGTCATTCACAGTGAAGCTTGCTAAGTGGCCTCTTGCCTCACTCACTTCCTTGTTGTTGGTGATCATTGTGAGTCTTCATCCTCATCCTACACTCGTGGTTATACACAGTGGACACGTCTAAATTCCTGGTTATTTCGCTAGGGATATATCCTCTCCAGGTAGGTAACAGAACAGTGTTGGTGTCAGAATCTTGAAGAACATAAAGGACACAAGAGAAGCCTTGTGTAAGTGAATCTTGTATAAATAACCGGTAAATGACTGGTGTGTAAGTGAATCTTGCGTCAATGACTGGTGTGTAAGTGAATCTTGCGTCAATGACTGATGTGTAAGTGAATCTTGCGTCAGTGACTGGTGTGTAAGTGAATGCTAGGTAAATGGACATAGCTGCAACTAATGTGACATTTTATTGTGGCAATGTTTCGCTGCTACTAATACTAATACTACTATTACTACTACTACTACTACTACTACTACTACTACTACTACTACTACTACTACTACTACTACTACTACTACCACCACCACCACCACCACCACCACCACCACCACCACCACCACCACCACCACTACTACTACCAATCTTTCCCCTCGCATGGTACCTATAATACAAACAATACAAGGACACCTCTGTGTCCTTGTTTGTAACGGCTTGACAAAGCTCCTGGAGAACGAAACGTTGCCTCAGTAAAATGCCACATTAGTTGTATCTGTGTCCATTTACCTAGCAGTCTGAAGACTGATCAAGGCTAAGTGACTGGACACTTATTAAGACTGAGAGACCAGAATACCTCATCTTCAACTGTCTCTAGTATATAATCTACGCACTGGCATAGCGGCT